CCCCAAAACCCCAAAACCCCAAAACCCCAAAACCCCATTCCAGTATATTTTTGTTGAATACTTCTTATTTTATGCTAAAAGAATTAAATTATGAAGACAAATTTGGGGAAATCCAGTAACAATACTCAGAATTCATTCCAAGGAGATGTAGAAGACACTTTTAATGATAAAGAAAACAAGAAAAATATCTGAAATATTGCGAGAAGCTTAATCAAGAACCCCAAAGAGAAAATCAAAGGACTAAAGACTTTAAATAGTGATCATTTCCTGAATAATTTTGAGGATATTCGGACTCTTACTCAGGAAGCATCAATTCCAAGACCTTTGGAGGATAAAATTAGTTCCAAACATGAAGAATCAAAGTATGGCGATGAGCCAACTACACTTCCTACTGAACTGCTACCTCTGAACCAGATGATTCAGAATACTAAGAGTATGTTGATAATTCTACAAACTTTAAATTTATTTTTCCTCTAGTATCAGAAATACCAGAATACAGCAGTACTACTGATTACAAGAGAATGTTTTGGGAAGTATACTCCTCAAACCAACTGATGCTTCAAGAATTACAAGAAGAGTTAGGGAATTATCAAAAGATTTTGGCCAACCATCTTGATAATTTAAAGGTAAATTTTATTTTCTGACCTGCCTAGACACCTTCAAACTATTCTGAGAGCTTCGGTGAAAACATCGGCAGGAAATAAGCACATTCGGAGAACTTCTAAGGAGATCACTAAGAATCAAAATTGCCCATACCAAGGGTGTGGTAAAGTATATGGGTCAGAAGGATCACTAAACCTGCATATGAAGCTCAAACACGGTGGTGGCAACAAGACTGATAGAGAGAAACTGTCAGTAAGTTTTCATCAATTTGTATTATCGGCTAAACTTGACATAGAAAGCTCTTGTTATTCAATATGGCAGCCGAAAGGACCTTCCTTCTGAAATTACCATTAATCTTCCTCCAGGGCTCCTTGAGGACATTTGCAAAGAGTACAGCATCAGTTTAACGAAGAACCAGTTGAATGAGCTTCAAGCACAAGCAGAAATAGGATTCAAGGCTTATTGTGCCAAATGTGAGAAGGATGGTTCTCTCGATCCTTCTACTGGCTTACCCTATGTCAGCAAAGACTAATTCATCAGGTTCTGTGCATTCCATTTTCACCCGAATGGTTATGCTTTACATCAGAATCCTAAAATTCCCAATCCCCCTCCAAAATCCTTCTTCATCACCCATTCCTCTCCTTACTTATCCATTCACTATAATTCAGAAATTAATTAGTTTGTTCAAAAATAAAATTTATTGGAGGGGTTTTGGGGTTTTGGGGTTTTGGGGTTTTGGGG